TCATTTATATTTTATTGTATTATATTATATATTATATTTTATATTATTATATATTATATTATATTATATTTTATATTTGAACGATAGGCTCATTATTTCTTTATACCGTTATTATACCGTTATATTATATATATTATATTATATTATATTATATTATATATATATTATACCGTTTTGCACATATATATTACACATATATATTATATTATATTATATTTTATATTTGAACGATAGGCTCATTATTTCTTTATACCGTTATTATACACTTATCTATATATATAAAAATGAATGTATGTCTGTTTGTTTGTCCTTTATGCCTGACCAAACCACTCATTGGATCGCCATGAAACTTTGGGAAGTTATTTAGTATAGTACTGGGAAGGTTTCTAGCAAATAAAATTTTTGAAATAACTTTTCGCCTAGATATAATCAAGATAAATATTCTAATTTATCTGTTATAATTCAACAATCTGCTCTAAATATTATCATGATGATACGATGATTTTGTAATGTAGAAAATTAGGAAAGACAAAATTCAGGATGACATGGCAATTTATTTGAGACAAGAATAATGATACAATTCAAAGGCAAGATACTATTCCTTTAACTTACAATTACCGAGGAAACCAATTAATATTGATTTTATTCAACTTATCGAGAATTTTTCAAGGGACCGGGAAAAAATGTTCACTTTATGGAGAGATTCGTTAAACAAACCTTTACTCGGGTAAAACCCGGGCGAAGCCGGGAATATCCATTTCGTAGCTTAACCCGTCTCTCCAAGAGGCAGTCTCTTATTAAAGGTCTATTAGAGATTCTTTAATAGCAATTAGAATCTTCAATGAGAGACCACCAACAGGAGAAACAAGTTGATTCATGTTTTTAGGTGGTCTTTCTTAAGAGACTCTATTTACATATATTAAAATATGAAAAAATTAAAATATTTTATCAAGATAAATATTCTAATTTATCTATATATATAAAAATGAATGTATGTGTGTCTGTTTGTTTGTTTGTTTGTCCTTTATGCCTGACCAAACCACTCATTGGATCGCCATGAAACTTTGGGAAGTTATTTAGTATAGTACTGGGAAGGTTTCTAGCAAATAAAATTTTTGAAATAACTTTTCGCCTAGAAATAATCAAGATAAATATTCTAATTTATCTGTTATAATTCAACAATCTACTCTAAATATTATCATGATGATACGATGATTTTGTAATGTAGAAAATTAGGAAAGACAAAATTCAGGATGACACGGCAATTTATTTGAGACAAGAATAATGATACAATTCAAAGGCAAGATACTATTCCTTTAACTTCCAATTACCGAGGGAACCAATTAATATTGATTTTATTCAACTTATCGAGTATTTTTCAAGGGACCGGGAAAAAATGTTAACTTTATCGAGAGATTCGTTAGACAAACCTTTACTCAGGTAAAACCCGGGAGAAGCCGGGCGGGTCCGCTAGTATTATATATATTATATTATATATATATTATACCGTTTTGCACATATATGTTACACATATATATTATATATTATATTATATTTTATATTTGAACGATAGGCTCATTATTTCTTTATACCGTTATATTATATATATTATAACGGGATGTTTCACAAGAGTGACATCCATGGCGCCAATTTATAATTGTAACGAATAGTATTTGAATTAAAACGTTTTTAAAATATATACGCACTCGGGTAAAACCCGGGCGTTGCCCGGGCCATTCGTCTAGTATTATAGAAATGTGTAAATAGCTTATCTTATCATATTTTACCTTTTACTATCTATTCACTGTCTATAATAGTATTTAGAGTGAATTTGTATTTTGTACAATCTCAATAAAAAATTGAGCAACATTTAGAAAATGCAATTTTAATATAATTTTAAATTTTTTATTTATTGTTTCAAACTCTATAGATTATTTAAAAAAGGCATCTACTTATCGGGCAACTGAAAGTTGCTGATGGCTTGTGGCATCTATCGGAATAAATATCAACTATTCGTTGATTTTTAATTATTCCAGAATTGGCCAAATACCCATTCTTGATTAATCAAGAAAAGCCAACCATGTACACGTTTCAGGCTGTTGGCCCTCGTCAGCATGGTACAAGCTGTACCTCAACGACCAAAAGATTGCTCATTCAGGCATCCTGAAAAATAATTAAACGGATAGTTAAGGCCAGAATTGTGTGAGAACGCGAATCAATGTGAAAAAATAGTATTTGGCCAATTCTGGGATAATTAAAAAATCAACGAATAGTTTATATTTATTCCGATAAATGGTGCCAGCAACTTTCAGTTGCCCGATAAGGAGATACCTTTTTTCTTTTATTAATTTATGAACTTTATCCCAGTACAATAACTCATTTGTTCTTTTTTTTTCGTATCTATAGATTTTATTGAAATGAAAATTGCATTTTTTTTTGTGTGTGTGTGTGTGTTTTGAAACAATTTTTTATTTATTTAAAAAATAAATTTATAAACAACTTGATTTTAATGTGGACCATACACTCTAGAATCAACCGTCTTCAAAGTGTTAAATACCATAATCAAAATTCCACCCTACAGTGTCACATATGAAAAAATAATAATAAAATAAAAAAGGTCAGGTGTTGATATTAAAAATAAAAAAGGCATATCTTGACCAGGAGCATATGTGCTTTCCAGATGACAGAGCGCCATCTGGTGGAACAGAAATCAACTAAACATTGATTTAGCCTCCACGCTGATGAGTGCCAACAGCGCGAAACACGTTCGTGGATGGCTTTTCTTGATTTATCAAGAAATTGGGTTGGCCAAATATCAGGGAACAGGCTAAATCAATGTTTAGTTGATTTCAGTTCCACCAGATGGCACTCTGCCATCTGTAAAGCACATGTGCTCCTGGTCAGGATATGCCTTTTTATTTTTAGTATCACATATATAAGTAGAATCACCAAATACAATATTAGACCTCAAATGAGCAATGTGGTGGATTGAATGGGCGAAACCGTTGGGAGGGTTCACCACTGATGAACCCAGCCCTTCACTATTTTACTTATCGCAGTAAAGAAAGTAGAAAGTGTTTATTTGTAAAAAAAAATATTTTTTTTTATATATGGTTTTAATATTGCATTTAGGTCAGTAGAGGAGATAGCATTTGATAATACAGTAGAACTTGGATAATTCGAACTTCTTTAATTCGAAAACCTCTTTAATTCGAATATTTTCTTGGTCCCTAGAAGCCTTAAGCCTTTATTCAAAACATCTTTAATTCGAATTTTTGGATAATTCGAATTTTTTTACGGTCCCTTGGGGTTCGAATTATCCAAGTTCGACTGTATATATCATAAGAGAAACACATTGCCAAAAATTATAATGACAAATTTTATCGATAGCTATGGCAATTGAATTTATAATTTCAAAATGTTTGTTTTTCATTTTGAAAAAGCAAAATGGAAACAAAGGGGTCGGTGGAAGGATGGTCTAAACCATTGGTTTTCGACCTCTATGACCCGGGTTCTATTCCCACATTAGGCACTTTTTTCTGAAAAAAAAAAAATGCTCCAATGGCCCCCGATTTTTGCAAATGTTCAACCCCACCAGCGAGTGCAAGTAACCAAACGGAGCTCTGGCACATTTGTAAGTGCAAAGTTGTGAACTGCTTTTCTAATGTGCAGACATGTGGTGCGCTTACAGTAAAAGCAGTCGCCTACTTTTACCCACCACGATTATCGTGGTCTGTACCACATGTACTAGGGATAAACAAAAACAAAAGCAGAGACTTCAAATAGGTTATTGTATGTTGTATTGATATATTGTATGTAATTCTGCTGTCCTCAAAGCCAATGTCCATAGTTCTTCTAAAATACCCATTCCAAGAGTCTAACTAGCATCAATATCACTATAAAAGGAAGATCCAAAAATGCAATATAACAGCAGTATGGTAGATTATAATGGCGAAACCGCTGGGAGGGTTCACCGCTGATGAGCCAGGCCCTCCCATTAATTTTTCCATTGCAGTAAGGGCAGTAGAAATTGTTTATTTAAAAAAAAAAAAAGAATCTTATGCGTCTATAATAGTTTTCAATTTTGATAACAGATGGTGCGATGATATTTCTCTGGTACATGGTAACAAACAAGGTTCTAGCATGTGATTTAGAAATGATGTTTACATCTACCACATGAATGTTCCGAATATAAATTTACCTCCCCCCCTCTCATGTCAGAATGTTTTATTATCCTATCATCATCAGAACACAGATGGTGTCTTTCAATATAAGACCATGTGTCCAGCTGGCTTGCTGCCAGAACTATAATAAATGGAATCTTTATTTATTGCTCTTTATTTCTCCTGGCCTTGGTGTCTGTATACAGACCTCTACCTCTATAACCCACAGCAAATCTGCATTACTGAATACAGTAGAACCTCCCTTTAGTGGACACCCTGCTAGAGGACACCTCACCACAAAGGACAGTTTTCATTTGCAAAATTACGATTTTTACAATTTAGAAACTCTCCAATAAGAGGACACCTCTCCATAAAGGACACTTTGACTCTGCAATTAGGTGTTGTCCATTATAGAGAGAAGGTTCTACTGTATTTTATGTTTATCGAGTTTAAATTTTTAAGGTAAAATTGTTTTCAAATTTTTATTCAAATGAAATGATAGTAAAAAAATAACGGAACAATTCTAAACAATTTGAAAATTTCTACCCAACCACCTATTCATGACTGGGTGAAGTAGAATGCGTCTGCCTTTGTCATTAAGACAGGGAGCACTACTCAGTGGCAGGCCGACTTAGCTCCTAAAGAAATGGCCGCCTCTGACATGTGCAGCCACTCCTAACAAGGAATACAAACGCTGCTCATCCGGTATCCCTGGATTAGGAGCCTTTACAGGGTACTTTCTGCCCGCCCAGCTTACCCCAGGTTTTTTAGTAAGTTTGTTACTGCTCCTCGTTTTTCATCCGGGCTTGGGACCAGCAAAGGCAGAGTTTAAAAAGATGCCAAAACCCTGGATCTACCAGTTACCTTTAGATCTTCAGTCTAATGCTCTCCCAACCAAGCTATTTCGCTGTGAATTAACAACAAATAGTCACAAGGTATTATGGGATGATGGTGACAATGCTGTTACCAAAACGTCCCACACTATTTATTTGAATTTGGTCTTATTACCTTGTGTTATAATTTATAATCCAAATTGTGCCTTATCAACAACAAAGAGTGTTTGAAAAATTCTAATTATTTAGCTTTTTACATTAGATATTAGCATGGATTTGTCAATTTAACATGGAAACATACCCTTGGTCATTAAAGTTATCTCTGGAAGCCGGTTTTACACCTTAATATGGATACAAGGGATTGGTTTGTTGAACTATCAAGAATATTGATGATGGCGGCAAACATAGAAGCCTTGAGCAATCACATATGTCATAACCTACACTCAGGTCAACTCTGCCTGTGATTTTGTTTTAAAAATGTAGACAATTTTTATGCATCACCTTTAAGTTCGATGATAAAGCACAATTTAGATTATACAGTAAAACCCCGCTAATACGAACCCTGGATATAACGAACCTTCCCTTATAACGAACCCACGCCGATTCCCAATTCCATTCCATTGAAAATACCATCGTTATAACGAACTTTGCGATTTTTAGAATAACGAACTACCCCTATAACGAACCTATTTTCGGTCTCAAAATAATAAAATATATTTTAAATACTATGCTTATAACAAACTTAGAATTGTAATTAAAAAAAAATTAAAACAACCAAATTTTGAGCATGTTTCAGCTCGCGGATCGCGATTTCAAAACAATAAATTTAGCGGCATTGTTTGTTTTGAATTTTGCACTTTATTTTTGCTGTATGTTGTATAAATTTTTACACATTATACTTTTTATTAATTAGAATATCTTTGCATCCATTAAATATGAAATATAAAAAATGCAAATGGCTTCCAAAATGAATAAAATAAAGGCATTTTAAAAACAAAAACTTTATTTCTCTAAAAAAAAAGGCCATTTTCAGAACTTTTCAAAGTGAAACAACACAGGCAAAATGTTAAGAACATATTAAAATAAAGAATATAACTTTTCTATTATAAAAGATAAAATATAAAGCTATTAAAAATTGTTACAAAGAGGAATCAACCTCAACTTTTGCCGCGATCGCGATCGTACGTTTTAGGGCTAAAAAAAAAATAATCCAAATAAATGGTCCCGTGATCAAACAAAAACTATTTTTATGCCATTAACTATGATGATTTTAATGTCAGCAATTTTTTGCATGACAGGTTTAAAAAAAACGAAATCTAGACCTAGAAGAATATGTGGGAAAATGAAATGGAAGAAAAACACCAACTTTATTTGAATGGTGCAATGCTTGAAGAATGCTTTGAAGCAACAAGGTGTTAGAGCCATTTTTCCAAGTAAACAATGTATTATATAATGTGATAATGAAGTTTTAAAATCATTTTATATCTTTGAATATATATTTAATAAAACTTTGCCTTAGATTTGTCTTGATTTTTAAATTAGACATAGAGGTACATGTATGTTAATGATAAGTGTATTATCCTTGTGCCTAATGTATGATTTTCTTTTACTTATAAAACTTAGATTCTTAATACATTAGATCAGTAAAATCATGAGGCAACCATCTCGAACTTTTACCTTACTTTATTTCTCCAAAAACAATTGTGAACAACAAAAAAAGGTGATGATGATAAATTCAATGAATATTTACAGAATCACAGAAAAATTATATTAAAAATTTAACTATGATCATGAATACCCTAACTAAATTAAACATTCTCCCGCCACCAACTTGATGGGGGACCATCAAACCATTATATAGGTAACAAACATAATTTTACAATAGGTCTTCTGTAAGTCCCATTAGCAGTCTTGACTTCTACCACTCTGATTCTAGCGTCATCTCCTGGAAACACCTTTGAAATTCTTCCAATCTTCCATGCTAGTGGAGGTTGTTGTTCATTCTTTATCAACACCAGGGATCCTTCCTTAATGTTGGGTTGGGGCTTACACCATTTGGATCTTTGTTGAAGTTGTGACACATATTCTTGGGACCATCTTGTCCAAAAATGATTCATTGATTTTTGAATTAATTGCCATCTATTTGGCAAACTCATTGCTATGATGTCATCTTCATCGGGAAGCGCTGTTAAAGAACCACCTATTAAGAAGTGACCAGGAGTCAATGCCTGTAGATCTTCAGGGTCCTCAGAAAGAGGACAAAGAGGTCGCGAATTCAGGCAAGCTTCAATTTGTGCTAACAATGTTGTTAGTTCTTCAAAATTTAGCAAAGCACTGCCCATTGTTCTTCTAAGATGATATTTCATGGACTTAACTCCGGCTTCCCAAAGTCCACCAAAATGTGGAGCTGATGGTGGTATAAATTTCCACTGAATTCCCTCTGAATTCGTAAGAACCTTACTGGCATTGTGACATAGTTTCCCAATAATCTTATGCGCACCAACAAAATTAGTGGCGTTGTCACTATGAATTGTTGCTGGTTTACCTCTTCGAGCAATGAACCTTCTTATTGTGGATATGAGAGCATCTGTGGTCAAACTACTGATTAATTCTAGATGAATGGCCCGAGTGCTGAAACATATGAACAAGGCAACGTAAGCATTCATGGTTGAAGTTGTATGTCCCATGTTCCGTTTAATCAGAAAAGGTCCTGCAAAATCTATTCCAGTTACCAAAAACGGCCTTGATCTGTTGATCCTTGCAAAAGGTATATTTCCCATTAATTGAAAAGGAGCTTCTTTACGAAATCTAGCACATTTCATGCATGTTCTTAAAATTTTCCTTACAACATTTCTTCCAGAAGGTATCCAGAATATATTTCTTATTGCTGCAAGCGTAGCTTGAGTTGATGAGTGAAGATTATGGACATGAACATTGTTTACAATAAGAGTGGTAAGATGATGTGATCTTGGAAGTAAAATTTGATTAATTCGATCACCATAAACATTTGCATTTTTTAATCGTCCGCCAACTCTAATGATTCCTCTTGAATCCAAAAATGGACATAGATTGTATATTCTACTCTTATTCGGGATTGGCTTGTTGCTTAACAGGCAATGCTTTTCTTTGGAAAATTCAATAGATTGAACACACTTAACAACTGTCAACAGAGCATCATTCAACTCTCTTAATGTTAAGGGCTCCCTGTTCCTTGAATGTGAAGGCATTCGACTGTTGTTGACAAATCTTAAGCACCAAGCTATGAGACATTTCAGTTTGGTTAATGATGAGCAGTTTGTCACAATGGATGGAATTTCACACTCAATTGTAGCAAAATGCGTCTTAATTTTTTCTTCTTCCTTAAATTCTTCCTTGGAGCTATTAATGAATTTCTTAATTTCAAGGGCAGGTTCAATTAGCCATGGTGGCCCATTCCACCATAGTGGATGTTCTACCAAGTCGGATGGAAATATTCCTCGTGATGCACAATCTGCTGGATTCTGCCTTCCATCAACATGGCACCAAACCCCGGAGACAAGCCGTTGTATCTCAGCAACTCGATTTGCCACAAATGTCTTCCATCGGCACGGCTCGGAATTGATCCAGCATAAGGCTATAGTGGAATCAGACCATAAATAAATTTCATTGATGGTCAGAGGAAGGTTATCATATACAGTTTTCACTAATCTTGCCAAGAGTAGAGCAGAACATAATTCTAACTTTGGAAGTGAAACTACCTTCATGGGTGCGACTCTTGTTTTTGCCACTAAGAGAAATGTCTTAGCGCTTGTGTTTGAGAGGATCACCTTTAGATACAGAGATGCAGCATATGCCTTCTGTGATGCATCACAAAACCCATGCAATTCTACCTTCATAAATTTACCTGGTACCACGCATCTTGGGATCTGAATGTGCTCTAACGATGAAAGATCCTGGTTTATCAAAGTCAGCTTCCTTCTTAGTTCCTCTGGAATTGGGTCATCCCATTCCAAACCAGTCTTCCAAAGTTCTTGCAAAATCAGTTTAATAGTGGTCGTAAATGGTGTGAGATCCAACCAAGTGGATCAAATATTTTGGCAACCTGTGATAGTATTCCTCGTTTTGTCATAGAGTTCAGTGGCAGAGCTATTCCCTTAAATGTGAAACCATCAGTTCTTGGTTGCCATTGAAGGCCTAAAACGTTGACAAATTCCTTGGAATCCTCAAACTCAATATTTGTGTTGGTGGATCTCAAATGATTTGGTAAAAGTGACAGAACATCAGGAACATTGGAGGTCCACTTACGAAGTTAGAAGCCTCCTGCACTTAGTAAACCATAGAGTTCTTTAACCAAATTCTTGCCTTCATCTACTGAAAAAGTTCCAGTTACTAGATCATCAACATAAAAATCTGTCAATGCTATTTTGCTAGCCTTTGGAAACCTACTCTGCTCATCCAAAGCCAACTGTTTGATGATACGAGTGGCCAAAAATGGTGCACAACTAGTCCCGTAAGTGACAGTTTCCAGCCGATAGTCCCTTATTTTATCATTAGGATCATTCCGCCATACAATTCTTTGGAATTCTGAGTCGTCTTGTGATATTCTAATTTGCCTATACATCTTGGCGATATCAGCATTTATAGCAACAGGATGAATTCTGAATCTCAGAATGATGTGAAACAAATCCTGTTGAACTTTGGGCCCTGGAATTAAAGCGTCATTCAAGGACAGACCTGAATCAGTCCCCGCCGATGCGTCAAATACCACTCGTAATTTGGTGGTGCAACTTTTTTCCTTTATTACAGGATGATGAGGCAGATAGTACCTTCCCTTAATGATATCTTCCTTTGGTACTAAGCTCATATGTCCCAATTCAAGATATTCCCCAATGAAGCTTCTATATTGGTCATAAACTTCAGGTCGTGGAATCAAAGATCTTTCCAAAGAACAAAGTCTTTTGATCGCATTGGATCTTGATTCTCCTAAATGGCATTCATTCCGAAATGGCAGTTGTACAACATATCTGCCTGTGGAATCCCTTCCATGTGTTTCCACAAAATGGATTTCAGCTTCATTCTCATCCTTAGATATAGAAG